CATGCCTCCAGGGTCTGTGATGGACACAATCCAATTCTAATACCTTGTGTCAGGCATTCCAGCTGCCCTCTAACCATTCTTAATAATAAGACAAAAGTGATATTTTAGGGTAACAGTTAATAAATAATGTGACTTATCCAATCACACCTTTCACTAAAATATTATTATCTTTTGGCAGATTCATTACTGTGGAGACATCAGGACCTGATGAAACATCCTCTAATTCTACCACTAGTACATTTTCCAGAGTTGTCTTTCTTTTAATTTAATTCTCCCACTCTGAAAGCATACTGTCCATTGCAATTACTGAATGAGCATTTAATCTCGCATAACTAAGGCATTTTAATCTTTTCTTATGGAGAGATGATTAAAAGGTCCTAATATTGCTATGATATGGATACGTTTCATCCCGACCGAGTGAATCAAAGTTTCCTTTGTTCTCATAACTGTGAGTGAAGACAAATGAAATCTCCAGACACTTTGCTGTGGAGGTGAAGCCACCTCTCAAGGTGTGATAAATAACTATTTGTAGACAGAGTCTATTGAATAGAAGGTTTCCAGAGCTTCCTTGGGCAGAGGTGAGCCTAGAGGTATAGAACGGTAAGAGAAGTTTTCATAGTTGTTATCGTAGCTTGATTTATAGTCTGTTGTATTTTCCCAAAGCAATAAATCTTGGCACTTTTTAAAGGCTGTGTTGCACAAGAGAGCTACTGGATCACATTAAAACTTCAAGGGGGTTATTTTGTTATACCATGGGGTCGCAAAGAGTCGGACACGACTGAGCGACTTTCACTTTCTTTCTTTCTCTTCCAATCCTCAAGGAAATCAACCCTGAATATTCACTGGAAGGACTGATGCTGAAGCTGAAGCTCTGATACTTTGACCATCTGATGTGAAGAACCGACTCATTGGAAAAAGACCCTGATGCTGGGAAAGACTGAGGACAGGAAGAGAAGGGCCATACAGGATGAGATGGTTGGATGGCATCATTAACTCAATGGACATAAGTTTGAGCCAACTCTGGGAGATAATAAAGACAGGGAAGCCTGGTGGGCTGCCGCCCATGGGGTGACAGAGTCGGTCAGGACTAAGTAACAGCAACAGCAATAGCATTTTTACACTGATAGTTTCAATTTTTATTTAGCATGTCAGTACACTAGTATAGAATAAACAAAAGTTAAAAAATTGTCTAACTTCTTCAAAATCAGCACCTTTTTTTTTTTATTCTCGCTGTCCTATATCCTCGGCACCTATGTCTTGTTAAAAAGATTTTATAGCTGGAATGTTTGCCATTCCAAACCTTAACCTATTATCAACTCTAGTGAAAATACATAAATATAAATCTGCAGTGTGTTATTTATCTCAGAAAGTAATCTCCCCATGACTCTTTTGCGTGGCCTTTAACCACTGACATTGGTATATTCATTATAATTGTACTGGTCACTGTTTTATGAGGAAGGGCATCACACTGCATTATGTATTTTCATAATACCTTGTGCATGGTTGAGGAATGTCATATCTTTTTTCTTCAACCTCTGTTTCTCAGTCACATCCATTCATGACCTAATTCTCCCTTTCAGAACTGTGGTGGATAAAGAGTCTGCAGTTGAACAAGTTTGCATTTGGGAAACAAAGCAACTCCAGTTAGACTTTTATTGTGCACTTATTCCTCCAGTATTATTTCATATTTATTGAAAGTTGGTAAAACAACAATCCTTTCCAGACTGAGAGTGATTTGATAATCAGTGTGAAGTATATTTGCAAAACAAGTCAGGAATAACCTGTTTCTCTGTGAAAGAAACATTCAGATTGCTGAAACAGCCATTTTCATGGATACATTTGAGCTTTAAAAATATTCTTTTTTGAAATAAATTTCATCCCTCTTCTTTTATTGGGATTAGGAATCTTTTGTTTGTTTACTTTTTATTTCTTTAGTTACTGATTTGGACTGTGCTGGGTCTTCGTTGGGGCGCATGGGCTTCTCTCTAGTTTCGGCGAGCAGGGCTGCTCTTGGGTGAAGTGCGAGGGCTTCTCCTTGCGCTGGCTCGTGGGCTTCAGTAGTTGCGGCGCACGGGCTTAGTTGCTCCACCGCACATGAAATCTTCCTGGATTCTTCTTTGAAAAAGAGCACATTTTCTTTCCATCTTCTATGTATGCTGCTTCCTTACATTTTCTCATGAAGCTTCTTTTAAGCTTACATGAAATGTGTATTAAATAAATTTGTAGATCATGAATAAATGGTATAAACAGGCATAAGAAACGATCCAAGAATGTTTCACTCTTGTTTTGTGTCAGTGTAGACTATTGACTGAATCAGAAGTTCATAGAAAGAATATCTGAGAACTTTGAGCCATACATAAATTCATGAGGCCATAGAAACACTTTGTTTGCATATTGTTTCTTTATTACCCAGGAACTGCTTTGATTATTTGGGCTGAGGTGTTGACAGCTTGGGGTGTATGCCTTGATTACATAGGTAAAGGAATATACATTAAGCTGAATAGAAAGCTGATGGCAGTGTAGGCTAAGTGCATTTAATTAGCTTCGTACTCAAATACCCTATTCATTATTTCTTCCTCTAAGAATGAGATGAGTGTGTGTTCATGTGTGTGCCCATGTGTGTGTGCATGTGTATGTGTTTATGGTGGGAGCAGAAGGTTGATGCTATTGGAACAACTTTTTGGATGGGCTCTGGGGAGTAGAAAAGAAAGCTTTTGTTTGTAAAATGTAAAGCTCCATTTACAAAAATGTAAACCCTTGAACATTTCCAAGGGGACCGAAAGGGTTGAATTGATAACGCAGCATTTCTACACTGATAAATGTGAATTTTCTGGTTAACAATATTAGTACTATGCCAAGGTAAATAGACAGCTATTCTAATACCAACATGTCACTACTAAGCTCTCCTGGGTGAGAAGAGCTTTGCTTGGATGAAACTGGGGAGTGGCCAATGTCTTCCTTAGTTATGCAGGATTCCCTGTAGGTGAAATAGAATTGGGAAAGAAACCATCATTTGAGACTTTTTGTATTGTCTTTTGAAATAAAACTTTTTATTTCACGAGACTCTTAGTAAAAGTGAAGAAATTGACAAGGCAGTAAATATCTAATAAAGCATTGTTTTTATTTTGCTTATTATGTATTTTTTTTTTTGGCACTTCGGTGTTGCTTGTGGGAACTTTGTTCCTTAATCTGGGATCAAACCCCAGCTGACCTAAGTGAGAGCTCAGTCTTAACCACTGGACCACCAGGGAAGTCCCTAGTGTTGTTTTTAACTATTATCCTTTGACTGAACATGATAATAGGGAAGGAAATGCAAACCTCATTTTGTTATCTGAAGTAGTTCACCTCTGAAAAGCAATTCAGTTGCAAAATTACTCAGTAATTAAGATAAAGAGATATGAAGTCAGGACAGACCTGAATTCACACCTCAGTTCTGTGTCTTACTAGTAACAGGACTCCTGCAAAGGGTTTGAAATTTTCTAACCTCCAGTATGTAAACAGAGAATGGTAATGAAATTTCTTCATATGGTTATTGTGAAAACTAAAACATATAAAAAGTTCTTAGCAGGATACCTGGCCTATAATAATCATCATAAACACGTGGCTTTTAAAAAAATCTCAAGGTGAAAAACTAATGAAATATTTAAGGAAAACAACATCCCCTCCACCATTAACCATCTCTTCAAACTGGACTGTTGGATTTTTCCCTAAAGTTATATACCTGTTTCACTCTCTCTCTCAAAAAAAAAAAAAAAAAAAAAACCAACATTTTAAGAATAAATGGACTGTTAAAAGTACAGAAAAATCATGCCTTGACCTTGAGGCAGAGTTTATGAATTCTGAAAGGGTGAAGAAAAACATAATAATTAACCGTACCTAGCCATGCACACAGTTATTGTGGAAGTCCTGGTCCAAGTGTTTTTATCACAGCTGTGCAGGTTTCAGCAGGCTCTGCCGCACTTAGTCTCAGGATAGCCTTCAGGGATAGGATGGCAGTGGGCAGGCCACGGAAGGCATTTTTCCTTCTCACTCAGGGACTCCAAGTCTTTTTTGGGGGAAAGGAAGAGTCATCCAGCTGAACTGTCTGCTTCTTTCTGAATTAAGGTCCTAGACGCTCAAGTCCTAGTGTCTGCAAGAAACACCTCCTTCAACCCTGCTCTTGGCTGCTGGCTTGGTTTGAATCCTTTTATGATTCAATGTATACCAGATACCATGTCATTATAAAGACAACCCAACACTACTTATGTTTGACTACTTATACCTTGCTCTGTATTTATGTCAGCATCCAAGATGTAGAAATAATGGGACTTGCTTTGCCCAATACTATAATTTTGCTTGCGTTGTTGTTTTGGTTCAGTCGTTAAGTCATGTCTGACTGTTTGTGATCCCACAGACTGCAGCATACCAGGCTTCCCTGTCCTTCACTATCTCCTGGAGTTTCTTCAAACTCATGTCCATTGAGTCAGCGATGCTTTCCAACCATCTCATCCTCTATTGCCCCCTTCTCCTTCTGCCTTCAATCTTTCCCAGCGTCAAGATCTTTTCCAATGTGTTGGCTGTTCACATCAGATGGCCAGTGTTGGAGCTTCACCATTAGTCCTTCCAATTAATATTTAAGGTTGATTTCTTTTAGGATTGAGTAGTTCGATCTCCTTGCTGTCCAAAGGACTCTCAAGAGTCTTCTCTAGCACCACAACTTGAAAGCATCAATTCTTCAGCACTCAGCCTTCTTTTTGGTCCAACTCTCACATCTGTACATAACTACTGAAAAAAAAATCATAGCTTTCTATATGGACCTTTGTCAGCAAAGTGATGTCTCTTGCTTGTGTAGACATTGTCAAATTAGAAAACATTTTATAGAAATTTCCTTCAGCCCTACCCTGGTTGAATAGGCAACGCTCATCACCTCCTTTGCATTTATGATATCACAGTTCCCCTTATACTCCTCATAAAAATACCAGGGTGAGATTCTCCTTCAGCCAGATGCCCATCACTGCTCACTGAATTGCATTGGACTGATTTAATATAATGTTTCATAAACATATATGGGAAGCCCACCACTAGATTGGAAAGGAGCTAGGGATCTCCAGTACATCAAGGTAGGGCAATTTGGTATGTGTGTGTTTAGGAATATAGTTTTCCTCTCTTCTCTCAGCTAAAGGAAGAAACTATAGTGATGTTTCTGCCATATGACTTTAGAAAGTTTATTGGTCCTTTGAGACAGCCTTCACATCCTTTTATTTTTTAAATTATAAACAAAATATATGTCATTTCTGTGTGTCTAGTCTTTTGACTTTGGTTTTAATATTTATTTTATTTATTTGGCTGTGCCAGGGCCTCGTTAGAACATGTGGGATCTGGTTCCCTGACCAGGGATGGAACCTGGGCCTCCTGCATTGGGAGCATGAAATCTTAACCACTGGACCATAAAGGAATCTCCTTTTGTCTTTGATTTTAGATGATTAGGAAGAGACCCCAATTGTTTTTTAGGTCATAATAGGGATATACTTGGGGCTTCCCTTGTGGCTCAGCTGGTAAAGAATCCACCTGCAATGCAGGAGACCTGGGTTTGGTCCCTGGGTTGGGAAGATGCCCTGGAGAAGGGAGAGGCTACCCACTCCAGTATTCTGGCCTGGAGAATTCCATGGGCTGTGTAGACCATGGGGTCGCAAAGAGACGGACACGACTGAGCGACTTTCACTTTCACTTTCAGGGATATACTTATTGTTAACAATATCTGTTTAGAAGAGCTTCATTTTCATTTGACACTCTTTTTTTCTTATGGGCACTAATAAGTGATAGAAAAATGATTTGGAAGGAGGGACCCTAACACGTAGAATAGATGAAGTCACTTTGACTCAGAAGATTCTTTCTTCTCCCTCCTCTTTCTTGTGGTTCTCTTTTACTCCCCTCCTTTCTGTCACACAGACACACAAAATGTACAGGGCACGCAAAACTTCCCAATGAGTTAACACTGGACAGCTCTATAATTAATTTGTGGTTTTAAAATAATCTCCACTATTTACACAATGTCTTAATACCAGACACCTGATCTAGAAGATATTAAATGTTGAGGTGAAATATAAAATTTTTATTGGCAAGGCAGACCAAAATTTTAATTCTATTTATTGTCATAAATTGGCAAGTTAGTCTATACTCTTCAATTTCTTGCAATATTAAAACACACATGCGTGGGACTCTCTGGCATGGATAGAGTCTCTTGGTTTTGCAGAAAGAGATCAGCAGTGTTGTCTTCGGTCTCTGGGTTGAGCTGTGGTCTCTGGTTGGCCTGGGCCCGGCTGTGTCGCTGGCAGAGTGGCTCCTCTGTCTCCGACCTCCTTGTATCCTGCATCGTCTCTTCTGGGCCTTTCCTTCCTCCCCAGCAGCCTCCCTGCTCTCCTGTCCTTCACAGGGTGATTCCTGGGAGGAGGAGGAATTTGGTCCCTGGGCTCCTCGGCCTTCCCTTTGTCTCCCCTCTTTCCCTTACCTTCTCCATTCTCTTGGTCCTTAGGGAAAAAAAAAACAAAACAAACCAGAAGCCAAAATGTGATGAAAATGACCTTCTCTGAGCCACTGATCTTTTTTCTCTTCTCTAAAGATTGACTTCTCTTGGGACATGTGCAAAATATTTCACCAATAATTCTGTTTATGTTTAGTAGTGTTTTTTGTGAACTCTGCAACCTGAGTCGATTATGCAAAGAACAGCAACTTCATGGATATAGAAGACTCTGCAATTCTGGGTAACATAGTCATGCCAGAAATGAACCACAGGTCATCTCATGCCATCTTGGCAGTCCCAGGTGGGTCAGTGGTAAAATTATCTACCTGACAGTGCAGGAGATGGAGGAAACGCTGGTTCAGTCCCTGGGTTGGGAAGATCCCCTGGAGAAGGAAATGGCAACTTACTCCAGTATCCTTGCTGGGAAAATCCCATGGACAGAGGAGCCTGGTGGGCTATGATCCATGGGATCTCAAAGAGCTGGACAGAGCTAAGAGACTGAGCGCACACACACACACACACACACACACACACGCACGCACGCACCCACGTGCCCTCTAAATACCTCTGAAAGCATGTGAGGATCATTCTTTTGTTTTTCTTTTTATTGAAGTATAATCGCTTTACAGTGTGTTAATTTCTGCGGTACCTCAAAATGAATCAGCCAGATGTATGCATACATCCCCTCCGTCTTGAGCATCCCTCCCGTACTCCTCCCCCGCCATCCCACCCCGCTAGGTCATCGCAGCACTGATCTGAGCTCCTGGTGCTATAGGGAAGGTTCCCTGAGCCACTGGCCTTTAAGGTGACCTGAAATTCAATCCACTTTTAAAGAGAAAAAAAAAAAAGAGCGTTTCTTTATACAAACACGATCTGGCCGGCTGTAGGTGTTCAGGAAAGAACAAGTACTCAGAATACTTGGAAAACTGCTTATAAAGGATGAACAATGACCCTCAGGGTTCAGGAGATTTCCTGGGGGTTAATAAGTAGCTTGGAAGAATTGCTGGCCTTCAGCTGTACTCTGGGCAGTTAACCTCAGCCAGTCAGGCCTTGTTGAGAAACGCCCTGCATGGTGGTGGTGATTGCTATTGTGAGATGTAAACACAGAGGAACACTTTTGGGCTGATTTTATTTCAATGTGCCCTTTGCTTCTGAAAGACCGTGGTGCACTGCTTAAATAGAGCATGGTGGTAATAATACAGCTCTCCTTTCCCGACCACACGCACCTCATCACATTAACCAAGCGGATTGGAACAATGTTTACAGGGGGGAAAAATTAATATTTTATGAAAGTTAAAAAAAACCTGGAGAAAAACTGTTCAACTGCTTAATACACAGCCAAGATTGTACTGAATTTAGAGCTGCTGCTGCTGCTAAGTTGCTTCAGTCGTGTCCGACTCTGTGCGACCCCACAGACGGCAGCCCACCAGGCTCCCCCGTCCCTGGGATTCTCCAGGCAAGAACACTGGAGTGGGTTGCCATTGCCTTCTCCAATGCATGAAAGTGAAAAGTGAAAGTGAAGTCGCTCAGTCGTGTCCGACTCCTAGCGACCCCATGGACTGCAGCCTGCCAGGCTCCTCCGTCCATGGGATTTTCCGGGCAAGAGTACTGGAGTGGGGTGCCATTGCCTTCTCTGGAATTTAGAGCAAACCAGTTATAATTGTATCCCACATACAGTTATAAGATTTTTCTTAAGAGAGAGGGTCTTTTCCCTTTTGCTGTGAGAGGATGACTTCAAAAACTTAAAACAGTTTCAGTCCTTTTCTGGCTAAACCTCCTGCTAGCAAAATAGTTCATTAACTAAAAGATTCATGAGCCAGGTTCACTGGGTTTTAATTTCAAGGGGGACATAGGGAAAACTTATTTTAACCCTGACACACTCAGATAGATACTTAGATTTTCCTCTTGTCGCCATGATTCTCAGTTCACGCCATCTTTAGAATACTTAGTTGGAAAAGTTAGAGCTTGACTTTGTCATTTCTGTTATTTGCGTGTTGAATGAACCAACTGTGAAGTTGGGGTTTGGTGTAGTGTCAAACTGGCCTCGTGGAAGATTGGAGCAGCTCTTATGAACATCTCCACCTTGGTGTCATTGTTCAGGGTGCTGGGGAGTCAGCTAGCTTCAGGCCAGTTCCTGACACACCCACACTGTCTTCTTTACTTCCAGCCAGTGGCTTTGCCTCTGGAAGGAAAGGGATGGTTTGAGCAACAGCTGGGTGGGCAACCTTGAAGGTTTGTAGCACCCCCTCCTGGTAGAAGTGAGAATTGCAGGGGGGAACGCTTCTCTCTGATCCAGATGATCCGCTCACAAAAGCTCTTGTTTGGGATTTGCTGCTGCTGGTTTGAAATTCATTGTTTGTTTTTTGTTCCCCTTCTTTGGACATTGTTTCTTTTACTTTTGATGCCATTATTTTTGTACATAAATAATTTTTTTAAAAATTTACCCTTTCAGGACATTGCACACCAATGAACAGGCTAGAAGAGAATAGTGAGTTCAAATTATCCATTTTCATGCAACAAGCTAAAGGAGAATTCTAGGGAACACAGAGCTGTAAACAGACTGAATGTTGGTGTAATTTAAAAATTATTATTAAAAATGTTTAGTTCCAGTATTCTGAAGGAATGTCCCTTATCTTTTATCTATTAGCACAATAAGAAACACCAATGTTGTATTTATTATTTTTATGGCAGTATACCTTTTTTCCATAGCATTATTCCCTAATTTTGTATGCCATCATAGGACTTACGCAGTTAAAACCTGCTATCTCATGTTATTCCTTTTCTTTGTCTCTCCTTTCAATTTACAACCATGAATATGCTGCCAACAAGTCAAACTAAAGAAATCTCTAAATAGATGGTACACTGCTTCCTCAGTAAAAGTTTGGAAGCTCTTTGTAGTGGAAAAGAGGTTGGGATTTCGGAGGTGAGGATTTAAATTCTTTCTCCCCATTCAAGATTTTGTTGAGGGGACTTCTCTGGCAATGTAGTGGTTAAGATTTTGCCTTCCAATGCAGGGAGAGTGGATTCGATCCACTAAGATCCCGCAAGCCTCACAGCTTAAAAAGCCAAAACATGAAATAGAAGCAATATTGTAACAGATTCAATAAAGATTTTAAAAATGTTAAAAGATTTGTGTTGACTTAGGCAGATTCCCCCAGAGAAGGCAATGGCACCCCACTCCAGTATTCTTACCTGGAAAATCCCATGGATGGAGGAGCCTGGTAGGCTACAGTCCATGGGGTTGCGAAGAGTCGGACATGACTGAGCGACTTCACTTTCACTTTTCACCTTTATGCACTGGAGAAGGAAATGGCAACCCACTCCAGTGCTCTTGCCTGGAGAATCCCAGGGATGGGGTCGCACAGAGTCGGACACGAGTGAAGTGGCTTAGCAGTAGCAGTAGCAGGCAGATTCCCCAGGGCTTCCCTGGTGACTCAGCAGTAAAGAATCTGCCTATGACGCAGGAGACATGGGTTCGATCCCTGAGTTGAGAAGATGCCCTGGCGGAGAAGACTAAAGATTGTTTATACAGCTTCTGTGGCCAAATTCTGTGAGTGCATTGTCGAAAGACTCTTACAGTATTTGCATTTTGAATAGCTTTTGACTGAACGTAAAAATGACACAGGCTTCCTAGGTGGCACTAGTGGTAAAGAACCTTTCTGCCAATGCAGGAGATATAAGAGACGTGTGTTTGATCCTTGGGTGGGAAGATTGCCTGGAGAAGGGAATGCCCACCCACTCCAGTGCCTGGGAAATGCCATGGACAGAGGAGCCTGGCGGGCTACATTCCATGGGGCTGCAAAGCATCGAACATGACTGGGCATGCACATCTTGGCTTGGTTAAAAGTCCAGACTTTACAAATGTGTTCCTCTTCCCCTCCCACAAGGCAAGAAGCTGTTGGCTGGCTTGGTTTTGTCAAGCTCTGTTGGAGACCCCCAGCTTGCCTGCCAGTATGCCTGCGTCCCGCCTCCCTTTAAAAATCATTCTCTTTCACCGGGCAGGGGCCTTCCCAGAAGGCTACATGGAAAGACAAGTAATCTCGCCTTTTGTAAGTTTCAGCCCTGTTCATCTTGGAAACGGGTATCAAGGCGGCAGATTCACTCATGTTTTTGTTGTCAGTCTTCCCCACTGGAGTGTGAGCTCCACAAACACCCGGGTGTTTGTCGGTTTTGTCTCCTGCCAGATCTGGCGTGCCTAGAAGAGTGCCTGGCAGGAAACAGGCATTCAGTAAACACGTGCTCAGTGAATGAAGATCCTGTTCATCCACAGGAAGATCCTGAGGAGTGCGATGCAAGGCCCACAGGTTACTGGCTAATATGACAGGCTTTAGGGAAAACTAGTCCTGGGTTTGAATATCAATCCTTTCCCTTAGTATTCATGTGCCCTTAGACATTCACTTAATCTATAAACTTCAGTTTTTCCTTATAAGGCAGATACTAGTAACTCTCCTTTTGGGGGGAAGTGTAGGAGATCTTATCTATAAAATATCTAGTGCAGTTCCCAACACAGAACAGGTGCTCTGTAGGCTGTAGGTACTGTTATTATTACTACCCAGGGGAAGCATGGCTCTTTAGGGTTGATAGTGGGGGAGGGATACAGGATAAACTGTGATGAATGGGGAAGTTCATGTACCAGGGCAGAGAGAAGCAAGGGAGACCCAAGTACTTTTCCAGGTGTATGTGACCTCCATGCATGCTCAGTCACTTAGGTGTGTCTGACTCATTGCGACTCTATGGACTGTAGCTCGATAGGCTCCTCTGTCCATGGAATTTTCCAGGCAAGAATACTGGAGTGGGTTGCCATTTCCTTCTCCAGGGGATCTTCCCAATCCAGGGATCTAACTGTCATCTCCTGTCTCCTGCGTTAACAGGCGGGTTCTTTACCCGCTGAGCCATCATGGAAGCCTTCTATAGGTACATTTAAAAATATACATATGTAGTTACATGTGAAAAGGAATATGTGCAGTTACACCAGCAAACATATATATAGATATATGTGAAAAGTGAATTAAAACTATTTGTATTTGAAGACATTTGGAGGAAATTTAAGAAAAGCCTCAGGTCTTAGGAGACGGTAGAGGGTGGTGTGTTGGGAGGAGGGGATCCCAGGATGTCACAAAACCAGAAAGAGGAGGCTCAGTGCTCTGAACACTTGGCATGGTTTCAGAATATCTAGTCATCCTTATTTGCATGCCAAAGAAGGAGTTGAGGCTGTCTCCTGCTACTTAACTCTTTATTGGCCTCATGGCTAGGGACTGAGTCTGCAACGGAGCAGTCTCTACCTGGATGCAAAGCAGAAGAATGAATGAAGTGCTGGGGTAAGGAGAGTTACCTGGAGAGATCTGGCTATTCCAGACCTAAGCCGAGTTCTCTGGGGAAGGAGTGCTGTCTGGATTTGCAGACTTCAGAGATGCGAGCTGTTGACCATTGCTCTTTGGGCTGCTGTTGTTTAGTCTCTCAGTTGTGTTTGACTCTTTGCAACCCCACAGACTCTAGCCTGATAGGCTGCTCTGTCCATGGAATTTTCCAGATGAGAATGCTGGAGTGGATTGCCATTTCCTGCTCCAGGGTTCTGCCCAACACAGGGATGGAATTTGTGTCTCCTCTATTAGCAGGTGAATGAATACATTAAGACAGACTGGGTGACTCAGTGAGGTAACTTCATCTGATCGCCTCCACTGTTTCATTTTAATACCGTTGGTACTTAGACCCCTGGATTTTTGTGAGGATTAACTAAGGTGACAGATGCAGAAATACATGGGCCAAAAACTGTTGGCCGTCCTGTAGAATTGTTGACTTTCTTCATCTTCTTGTTCTTCTCAACCTTCTATTAATAGTTCCTTCTGACCCCCTTTCTCCACCTCCCTCTCCTCTTGCCTCCTCTGTTGAGACCCTCATCCCTTGGGAAGGAGAAGGTGGGGAGGGCTGCAGTCAGAATCCAGTGGCTCCTCATGGAATTGACTTTGTTCTTTCTGTTCCCAAGGGGAACAGGAGGGAAGGGAGCCTCAAGGTCGTCTGGGCAAGTGCTGCTGAGCTGGAGAAACTGTCTTTAACCCTAAACAAATCTTACCTAGAATCTGGTGTATAAAATAGATGTTACGACAGAGGTGCTATATTTTGAGTAGGAATATAAGGATGCAAGGGGCTTCCCAGGTGGCACTAGTGGTAAAGAATCCACCTGCTAATGCAGGAGATGCAGGAGACTAGGGTTTGATCCCTGCATGGGCAAGATCCCTTGAAGGAGGAAATGACAACCCATTCCAGTATGCTTGCTTGGGAAATCCCATGGACAGAGGACCCTGGTGGGTTACACTCCATGGGATCGCACAGTCAGACATGACTGAAGCGACTTGGTGCACACATACATACACACTTACATAAGGATGGAAGAACCGCGTTCTCCAGTAAGCCTTGTGAAGACAAAACCTTCTCCAATTCCCTCATTTATATAAAGTATAAGAGAACATAGAAGACCTGAAAGGCAACATGACTTGAGGGCAAAGAAAGAACGCCAGTGGGCAAGCCTGCTTTCATGACTGAATGACTATGAAAATTCACTGCTCGGGGCTTTGGTTAAAGGGAAAGCATCCCAGACATGGTGTATAGGAGTGATCTGTTCTATGGGAATCTCCTTAAGGCTGTGAAATCTTCATTGCTTAGCCTGCTCTTCACAGAGTATATCAACCTCTCTCTGGGCCTCAGTTGGTTCCTCGTTTGCAAAATAAAGTGAGTGCTTTTGCTGTTGATATTCCATTGCTAAGTCCTGTCTGACTCTTTGCAACCCCATGGATACAGCCCCAGGCTCCTCTGTCCTCCATTATCACCAATAGTTGGCTCAGATTCATGTCCATTGAGTCGGTGATGCTGTCTAATCATCTCATGCTCAGCCACCCCCTTCTCCTTTTGCCTTCAATCTTTCCCTGCATCAGGGTCTTTTCCAGTGAGTTGGTTTTTCATAGAAATGAGAACTAAGATACTATAATTCAATAATTCCACCATTCTTCTTTTTTAAAAAACATTCATTTAGTTGTACCTGGGCTTAGTTGCAGCATGCAGGATCTCCTGTTGTGGCTTACAGGTTGTGATGCACGGGCTTAGTTGCCCTATGACATGTGCAATCTCAGTTCCCTGACCAGGAATCAAGCCTGTGTCTGCTGCGTTAGCAGGCAGATTCTTAATCACTGGACCACCAGGGAAGCCCCAGCATTCTTCCTTTTTAAATGAAGAAAGCTTTATATAGAAGCAATATACAGCGGAGTGAAAGGTGCTTTAGATGGGGACAGTAGGCTTGTCACCCACACATATCTTTTGACCATTGTGGATTAGTCACTGTTTAGTTTTCAGGGAGTGAATCAGTCGACAAAGTAGAAAAAAAAATGTACAGGTCTCATGGGGCTGACAATTTACCAGAGTGCAGCTGTGCGTGTGTGTGCATGCACGCACATGCATGCATGCATGCTCAATCGTGTCCACCTCTTTGTGACCCCATGGACTGTAGCCCACCAGGCTCCTCTGTCCATGGGATTTTCCAGGCAAGAAGAGTGGAGTGGGTGCCATTTTCTCCTTCAGGGGATCGTCCTGACGCAGAACGTCAAGCAGGTCCTGACCCGTGCCACGGGTGCAGTTTACTCCAGGGAGGGCCTTTGCGCAGACTGGCCACATCTGCACTGCTGATGGAGGTGGTCTCTGATAAAAATCCTAGAGACTTTTGATGAAACGTCTACTTGTGTTGGGGGCTTTCAGCGTTTTACTTCAATCCTTACCTTAACCCTGTAAGGTAGATGTTGTTATTTCTTTTTATAGGCAAGAACACTGAAGCTAGGACTTTCACACAAGCTGCCAAAGGTGAAAAAGTGAAAGTGTTAGTTGCTCAGTCATGTCCAACTCTTTGCAACCCTATGGGCTGTAGTCCTCCAGAATCTTCTGTCCATTGGATTCTCCAGGCAAGAATACTGAGTGAGTTGCCATTTCCTCCTCCAGGGGATCTTGTTGACCCAAGGATTGAACCCGAGTCTCCTGCATTGTAGGAAGATTCTTTATCCTGTGAGCCACCAGGGAAGCCCTACGTTTTAAGAAGTGCAGAGAAGCTGGGACTTGCCCCAAATCCTATGACTCTTCCCTCCACGTCCTCCTTCTTGGTCCTCAGTAATGAATGTCCTCTTGCAAGGGAAAAGCCAGAGAAACACTTTCAGGGAACTATGGGCCGGTATAAGGAGTTGTATTTGGGTTTCCCTGGTGGTTAGTGGTAAAGAACCCAGCTGCCAGTGCAGGAGATGCAGGTTTGATCCCTGGGTCAGGAAGATTCCCAGAAGAAGGGAATGGCAACCAGTATTCTTGCTTGGAGAATCCCATGGACAGAGGAACCTGGCAGGCTATAGTCCATGGAGTTAGAAAGAGTCAGACATGACAGTGATTGAACAATAAAAGGAAAACTCATTTAGTCATTCATTTAAGCTAACGCGACAAACACTCTTTTAGGAAGCCTAGGAACCACGCTGTGGCACTTATACTCCTCTGCTTTTGGAGCAGTGCTGGGTAAATAATATTCCCGGGGGTGAAGGAGCCTGAACCTTGGCATCACTTGACGTCCCCACTGTGACAGCGCTGACGGAGTGTGGGGTTGAGCTGATGCACAGTGACGGTCATGCCAGCCAAGTGGCTGGTGTTTCCCGCCAGGACCTCAATACCATGGCCAGCCTCTCCCACCTCATTGTCTCAGAGAGGAGCCGTCACTTCTGTGGTCCTCTGTGTCTATTGATCAGCCCCTGTCATCTGCGAGATGGTCCTCACATGCAGTTGAACCTTCCACCCTCCAGACCTGCCTCCCCGCCTCAGTACAGTCTCCGGACAGCCTTTCACCTGGGCTGTCAGCATAATGAAGGCTTGATTTCAATACGCTCCCTCATTTCTCTGTTCACTGCTCTGCGGGTTAATGCAGATTCCAAACTTCAACAAGCAGCTGTTAAACATGTCATTAACACTGCTTGGGCTGCAAATGAGACGCTGCTACTGGGATTACTCTGTGAGCTATAGTTTTGTGATGAGCTTTGTCACTCACAGCTGACCCACTGTGTACCGAATGGAACTCAGATTATCTCCTTTCTTCCTCTGACTCTTGTCATTTTTTTTTCCCACAAAGAATTACTATTCTACTCCCCGAAAGATTGATTACTTGCACAAATAAGAGAGTCTGAGACATTAATACAAAATTCACAGGCTTTTCTTTATCTCAAACCTGCAACTCCCTCCACATTTCCTCCTGGTAATTATATTAGAATTGTGTACACTAGGAATTGCCATCTGATTATTAGGAAACCAGTTTTGT